GGACTCTGTCTAGGCTGCGCAACATCTTTAAAATATTCTATGGTAGTTTGCCATAATTTGCAAAAATGCAAAGTGCTCGGCTATCAGAAAGCTACAACTGCAAAATCTGCTCCGAGGCAGACGATACACAAATGGTTTGCTGCGATGATTGTGAGCACTGGTTTCATTTTCGTTGCGTAGATGTCACTGCTTCTATTGAACACGTAGACTGGCACTGTGCAGGGCGCTCGGGCTCCTCATCCGGTACAATGATAGGAGCTGAAATAAGCAAAGGTGCCTCCACAAATGCTTGCGCCCCAAAGCCGAATAACGAGGTAGAACGTACAGCCAACTATGTAGCCAAGCAATTAGCTCCTTGCATGAGCACACCTCACGCGGTACATCAGCTTATAGCCTTGTAAGTGATAAGTCGGCTAGAGCTCGACGACACCGTGCTGAAGCAGAACTAATCGAAGAAGAGCTGCGAATTGTTCGTCAACTTAATAGACGCAAGAAACTTCTGCAGGAAGTGGAGCCCGAGGACAGATGTTCTAATTTGCAAGAACTGGAAACTGCCGCAATTCAAAAGTGGCTTGATGCAATCGGGCCTACCTGGCCCCCTATAATGTCAACGAAAGTATCGCCCGAGTGTCATCCGACTACAACCGGCCCTTCCACTGTCCCTCTACAGCCAAAAGAGGTGCTTGAAGATAACAACATTCAACGTCAAATGAGGTCGATGCTAGATAAACTCTCCATACTTGAGAAGGTTGTGCAAAATCAAACGGTTCCAACAACCAACGCAACGTGGCTTCCAAAGTTACTACCCGACCCCACGCAAACTCAAGCTATAGGAAAACACCTGTCGACGCAGCCACAGGATCATCGCTGCCATACCAAGAACCAGCCCGCTGCACGCATTAGCCTCGGTAAGGATTTGCCGAAGTTCAACGGTAAAGTTTCAGAATCACCCCTTTTTCTGGCCACCTACCAACAAACAACGGAAATGTGCGGATTTTCTGATGGCGAAAACCTACTGCGTCTGCGGCAGTCCCTGGAAAGGACAGCACGGAATGCGGTAAGGAATCTGCGGCTGCGTTATTCCTGTGTGCCGCAAATGCTCGAGATACTTAAAATGAAATTCGGTCGCCCAAAATTTATCATTGCGGTGCTTCTGACCCTCATATGTGAAATACCAGCCGTGAAAGAAAACGGACTTGAGGCTCTAGTCGATCTAACCTTGGAGGTGCAAAATGTTTGCGTAACGATGAAAGCCTCGAGCATACTATGCCACCTGAACAATCCAGAGCTGGAGCAAGAGCTGGTTAACAAACTGCCGGGAATGCATGCAGCGTTTTGGGGAATGCACAAACCAGAGCTGCCTTCAAGCAACCTCGAAAGTTTTACCGACTAGCTTTTTTAGCTCGCTCAAGGAGCGAACAGTGTGCTTGTGCCAAATACAACTTGAAATCCACAGCAAAACGTGGTTACCCGAATGCGCACACTAGCAATGACAGACGTGGGATCAACGGCTCTTGCATTATCTGTTATGGCGTTGGAAGCTTATACGCCTGCACTTTATATGTCGTCGCTGCCTAAGGTTGCAAACAGAGTGGGAGCGAAGCCGAAGACGAAAAACAGTGCAATAGTAAGCATATGATAGTGATCACAGTGCAAGCAAAGACGAAGATGAAGATGAAGACGTTGCGCAAGCGGTCAGCTTGAAACAGTGCGATGCTGTTTTCAAAGACGAATCGCTTGCTGTGATGAATTGTTTACAATTTATTTAACTGTTTGCAATTGTGAAAAAACGTGTTTTTCAAGAAATTGGCTAAGTTTTTGGCAAAATGTGTTCAAACGTATTAATTAGCATTCTTGTATATTCGAAAAATGTCTGTCCGTCTTGCCGTAACACATATTACAAGTGGCGAAATTCTCCAAAAGTTGTCCTATACAAATTCTTTCATGAATTGCTGTTTTTTCTTTATTTTCTTTTGATTTTATCTAAAAAAAAGGGTTTTATTTAGAAACAAATCTTCATATCATTCATCTTCCACTATGTACACTCGCCAGCTTGCCCGCAACGCAAGCAATTCGTCTTCGGCTTCGTCTTCATCTTCGTCTTCGGCTTCGTTTCCACTCTGTTTGCAACCTAAAGGTGCACCATCGCCTTCAGTACACATCTACTTCCGTGGGCGGTACAGATGGCTGCGCCTTAATCCATCATCCTCTCCTTCATAATAAACGGGCTGAGACGGTAATCGCACCAATTGCCAACTCTGCGTGCAACGCCCATAGCTGTGAAGCGGAATCAATTCTGTTTCGGGTGTTGCCTGTAACGCTTTATAGTAACAACAATAAGCTTAACACATATGCCTTCTTCGATGATGGTTCTTTGCCTACGCTTATGGATGCTGAGCTACAAGAAAAACTACAATTGCCTACCCGTGATAACGCGACGTTCTAAGTGGATCGAGAACGTGAAGCCGATTGCAGAGGGAGATGTCGTCTATATCTTTGACCCTAATGGCCCAGGAACTGTTGGCCGAAAGGTAGAGTAATTTCTGTGAGGGTGGGCCCATACCAGCAAGTGAGAAGCGCACTGGTGAAGACGAACGTTGGAATCTATGAGAGACCAGCAACGAAGCTTGCCGTACTTTCTGTTGTTGATCCGCAGGATAGGGGGTAGATCCAAGGGATATACCGGGGGGAGTCTTACAAAAGATACAGCAGGACCGCCGTAGCATCATGGCATTTCTTTTACTTCCCGCGATTCTGAGAGCTGGCTATCGTAATTAATATAAAAAATAATCAACCAAGCAATTTGGATAGATCCCTTTAATTACCAGAGTATATAATGAAATATCATTATTGTAATATTGTATTAAAACGAGAAATAACATCAGCAGATATTTTAAACGTTCCCCAAAAGAAAGCGTTTTGAAACTCAGTGGCGAGGGAGTCTGTCTAGGCTGCGCAACATTAGGTTTATAGAGCTTCATTAATTGACATTTTTTAATTTATAAACATTTTATAATGCTACTTTAATTTTTATGAAAAAGCCTGTTATGCAGCGTTTTAATTGCATTTAAAATGCAGCATTTAGCACTTTCGAACATATTTTTTCGAAGAGCCTTCATGCTATCGCATTTAGCAAATGTACATTTACGCGAGTTCGAAACCGTATGCTTTTGACAAACGGCCGTGTTCCTGTCGCTTATTCAGATCCGTATCTATCACGATCAATTCGCACAGAGAAGATAATGTGCAAAAACCCTATTGAAAAGGGAAAAAGAAATTTTAAACAAAAAGTTCAATACAAAAACTTGAATGGTTTTAACCATACTCGAAAATTTGTTTGTGTATATTTTCATTTGTCGGTACTGTCAATTGAAATATCCTCAATTAAATAGGAAAAAAAACCCACAGAGTTGATCACTAATTGAGCCGGATAACTATCAGTTTGATATGGATGTTGAATTCGTTCAACTTTTCTTTTTCCAAATAATGTAAAATAATAAATGAAATCTCGATCGGCGATCACTGAAACGCAGCTAGACACTGTATACTCGAAAATGCAATGTTGCCACTTCTTGTCATTAAAGCTGAAATTAGTCAAGAACGTAAACCTACCGGTACGTAAACCCGAGTCAGCTGACACGATCTGTCTTACCAAAGCGCCATGTAAATGAAAACTCAACACCGCAGAATTTTTCTGTAGTTGTAGCCCGTAGCGCAGAAATCTGCGGAATTTAGATTTTTCCGTGTCAGCTGATTTCTCCTTCTTTAGATGGTTGCCAGTTCGTCAGTTTTACAGATGGTAAAAAAAATATAAGTACCTACTCAAAATATGTTTAAAATATTTGAAATTTACTATTGAATAAGGTTTATGTTGAAAACTAAGTAGTTTATATTTAGCTAAAATCTATTATAGCACGAAAAATTGTAGTTGAAAGGGTAAGTTTATGAAAAGGCATTGATGAGTGGCAACAGTGTAGTAAGCAACACTGAGGGCTCCAGTAATCGACAAAATTCTGCGTATACAGACTGCGTTTAAGTATACGTTCTGCGTTCTCGACTAATTTCAGCTTTAACCATGGTCGAACCGTGGAAATTTTGGAAGATCACAGGGTTGCTTTTAGCATTTAGATTCTTAATGCAAAAATGTAGTTGCATTTAGGTGACGAATTTTGTATGGATAAATGTACATTTACAGGTCTATTCTGCACGTTACCGAAGATTTTGTAACCGGAAAATTTTATTACCAAAAAATATTACCAGTTCTTGTCACCGCGATTCTAGGAACGTTGGTAATGCAGTTAAAATATTCAGCAATTCAGCTATGAAGAATTGTGCAAATTCTGGCATTGAATATTTCACGGGGTAATACTTTGTTACCAGCTTATGAGATGGAAACAAAATCGTTCCCACGACAGTCGGGTCTACGTAACCGGAACGACCCAGATTTATATCTGGCCAAGGACTGTCACTCCAGCAACACTCCCCAAAAAGTCTTTGGGGAATTTGTATGCTGCTACAACAACAACAACAACATGGAAACAAAATTTACCGGTTACAAGAGTATACAGAATGCGAAAAGCGTTTAAAAATTGACAGGAACTTTATTTACCGGTTACAAACATTTTATTACCAGCGCAGAATAGACCTGTAACAGAATTTGCACAATTCTTCATAGCTGAATTGCTGAATATTTTAACTGCATTACCAACGTACCTAGAATCGCGGAGACAAGAACTGCTAATATTTTTTGGTAATAAAATTTTCCGGTTACAAAATCTTCGGTAACGTGCAGAATAGACCTGTTAGAGTAGAGCTAAATGTGCTTTTACGCGTAAGCAAAAACAGCCCTTTACGGGTAATCAAAAACAGCCCATTAGACTTTACGAGTATAAGGGAATCCCCTATATGTCTTTGATACGCACAATTTTTACGGCCATGTATTGTTCATACCTTAATCTTCACAAGAGACGTTATTGTGAACACAATATGTATTGTGAACGTGGTATTGATAAGAAGGAGAGAACTTTTTGCTGTGAAATAAAGTAGTGGATTGGTTTGTTTGTGGAAATTGCACTTCTCGTATTTAATAGCCAAAATGTCCGATAATGAAGATGATTTTATGTGTGAGGATGATGAAGATTACGGACTGGTGAGTTTCCAACACCAAAAGTGATATTATTTTTATTGAATTCAACGTAATGATGGCAAATGTGTACTTACCGGCGAACTGTCGACGGTTGTAGGAATATTCAGAAGACAGCAACTCGGAGCCTGATGTGGATCTCGAAAATCAATACTATAATAGTAAAGCTTTGAAGGAAGACAATCCAAACGCTGCATTAGCTTCATTTCAAAAAGTACTTGACCTTGAGGGTGGGGAAAAGGGAGAATGGGGTTTCAAGGCGCTCAAGCAGATGATAAAAATAAATTTTAAGTTGGTGAGAACACTTTCATAGCCGACTTATTGACTCGTTTATTTTTAATAATACTTCATTTGCAGAATAACTATAACGAAATGATGGAGCGATACAAGCTATTATTAACTTATATTAAAAGTGCTGTCACGCGCAATCACTCGGAAAAATCCATCAATTCCATCTTGGATTATATTTCCACATCTAAGAATGTGAGTTACAGAACCCATGTTACGTTTTCACAATAATATATATATATATCTAATGTAGATGGAAATTTTACAAAAGTTTTATGAAACCACATTGGATGCATTGAAAGATGCCAAAAATGATCGTCTATGGTTCAAAACCAATACCAAACTAGGCAAACTTTATTTTGATCTGGGAGATTTTATAAAATTACAAAAAATTCTTAAGCAACTGCACCTATCCTGCCAAACAGATGATGGTGAGGATGACTTGAAAAAGGGTACACAGCTGCTGGAAATATATGCATTAGAAATTCAAATGTATACTGTGCAGAAGAATAACAAAAAGTTAAAAGCGCTATATGAGCAATCCTTACATATTAAATCGGCAATACCGCACCCGCTTATTATGGGTGTAATACGCGAGTGCGGTGGAAAAATGCATTTGAGAGAAGGAGAATTCGAAAAGGCGCATACGGACTTCTTCGAGGCATTCAAGAATTATGATGAGTCTGGCTCTCCACGACGAACAACATGTTTGAAATATTTGGTTTTGGCTAATATGTAAGTTTCAAAGAAAATTTTGATTTTATACACAAAAGTAAAAACTTCATTGTTTATCTACAGGTTAATGAAATCCGGTATAAATCCTTTTGATTCCCAAGAGGCAAAGCCCTATAAACAAGATCCTGAAATTGTGGCCATGACGAAATTGGTTATTTCGTATCAAAATAACGACATTACCGAATTTGAGTCCATATTAAAAACGAATCATAAAAACATTATGGATGATCCCTTTATCCGGGAACATATTGAAGATCTGCTGCGGAATATCCGCACACAGGTGCTAATAAAATTGATACGGCCATATAAAAACATCGGAATACCCTTTATAGCGACAAAGTTGAAAATTGAAGCGGTTGAAGTGGAAAGTCTGCTGGTATCTTGTATATTAGACAAGTAAGAATTTTTGTTTAGTTTAGCTGTCCATAAATATATATATTATTCTTTAACTAGCACGATTCAAGGGCGCATCGACCAAATGAATCAAGTTTTACAGCTCGACAAAGAAAATAACAACGCAGCACGGTACAATGCCGTAGATGGGTGGGCGAATCAAATTTCGTCGCTACACCAGGCCGTGGTCAATAAAATGACATAAAATTTATTGTATTAGATTTGTATTGTGTTATGCTGGTTCAAAACAGGCTTACTATAATAAAGGCTTTCATATGCGTCAGTTGCTTCGATTTAAAATTATATGTATACAATTTAATTAACATCGCTGTAATCATTAGCGCACACAAGGGGTGGGTTTTGGGGTTCAAACCCCCCCCCTAAAGCTAATAACCTGAAATACAAACTGTATCCCAAAGCCAGCTCTCAAGAAAAATCACAAGAAATATTTTTTATTATAAAGCACTTTGCTTTTGCTGTAAATTTTCTTGAAGAAATAAATATACGAGCATTTTTTTCTTGAGAGATGCAAATTGATTTAAGAAATTTTGATAGAAGAAAATTCCTATTCCATTTCTTGTGCGCCATTTTATATGAATTTTTCGTTTTTTTTAGAGCTCTTAAGAGTTTAACTGCGAATGAAACCTAAAAATATGCAATGCATACTCACTTACTGAGCCTAAAAGAGTTTACAACGACGAGTTATGTCCTTAACAAGGATTCGAAGATTTAATTTGCCCACTTCGAATTCGTTCCACCATAATTGCCTACATGCCCACTTCGAATTCGTTCCACCATAATTGCCTACATGACAAAAATTCAAGTTCACTTAATTTTCTCGGTATTCGAAATATTAAAAAAATTAGGTAATCGTAAAAAATCACCATCTCATTCGAAAACCAGAAACCAGATATCGAGGAAAATGAACATTAAAACTCTGTTTTTTAAGTTTTTTATTACTTTTGCAAGTTGAGCGTATCTTGTGTTTATAGAACTTTATATTAAACAAGTAATTTCAAATTACGGGAAGACCCTTGAGGTACCATCTTTCCAATAAAAAAAAGAATTATTGAAATCGGTTCACGTGGTCCAAAGTTATGCGTTAGCATACTATTCCGACGAATTGAAAACCTACCCCTTTTTCGAAGTCGGTTACAAATGTTTGAGTTTTTTGCTAATTTTATGTAAATAAATGCAATTTATGAAACTTTAAAAAGTTTATTTATTTATTACACACTGTACATAAAACTTGCCTAAATGTAATTTAATGATCATTTTATCTGAAGCGAATTTTCAGAAGTATAAACCCCTCCCAAAATATATTCCTGGGTGCGCCCCTGGCTGTAATGCTGTATAGATTATTTTAAGCTCAGCATTATTACTTTGTCCAAAATTTGTCGATTTGGCGATTTTATCGTAAGCGACAAATTATCGAAACAATTTTTTTGTTGCAAATACATAGGTTACAAATACTAGTTACAACGTCCTAAAAATCACAGATTTTGAATAGTTACCGTTACGGGAAAAATGCAAAATGAGTTTTATCGTTAGCTTTGTTTACACTTGAGTTCCTAGGATTGTATCGTAAGCGACACTATGTGTACAGAACTTTATTGTAAATATCAGTTTGTACTCTAGTTTTAACCAAAGTACTTGCTACAACTGAATCAAAATCAGCTTCTTTCCCTCATCAAAATTAAGTGCAATGTGCAATTATGCAATTGCAGCTGCAAACACTAAGTGCAGCGTGGCTCATCGAGCGGGTTCTTTTTTTGAAACTCTTGCTTTGCCAAGGCGTTATAAGATTTAAAAGCATATCAGAAAGATGAAAAACAGACACTTAACAGGGCTTATATTCCCATTGAATGCACTGGTATAGGAAAAATTACAACTGAATTGGAATTGCCATCTTAACACCAGCTTATACGGTCATATGGATTCACATTTTCGAAATTATATTATTTCGCCGTTTATCTCCTTCCAAATTGCTATAAGATTTGGATTTTATTCTTTTACTTATCATAACTTTTGGACTTCTGCCTTCTTTTTATAAAATTGCAGTGGTTGATTTTAATGTCTAGATTGAGTTTTCATTTAGCATTTTCTTTGCAATTGCAAGGTTTAAAACACGACGAGTCGACAAATATAGCAACTGTTTTCGAAATTTGCCAAAAATCCCTAATATGAAGATTTTGGCACCGAACCTATTTTGGTCAAGGATTAAATTTTTCTCTGTTCTCGTTCTTTAAGAAAAACGTCAAAAACTACCAAATAGAAGCGTCAATGTGCACGTTTTTAAGGGTGGGTAACTCTGTAAATTTTGGTGTGCTGACTCAGTAACTCCAACTCACTTTAATGAGTCAGCACAGTGAGCTGGCACAAGTGTGCTATCGCACAATTGGTATGTACATCGAAATTATTGATGATGTTAGTAATCGAAATCGATTTAGAAAAGGTTATCCTTAGCTTCTGTTCGTAGCTGGCCGGCAAAATTTTAGAAAGCTGATTTCAACTGGTGAGTTCATTTGCAAAATAATTCCCTACTTAGTTTTGCTTGAGAGTTGTCACATAAGAATCTGTTAAATGGGCTATGCATGTAAGCGGTTACCCAACGCATAGCACTTCACATGTAGAATTCTGTTTGGTTTTGATTTTTACGTAAAAATGGTATAGCAGTGCAAGTATGCATAACCTTGCTTCTTTTTAGATTTAGTAGTCGTATATTCAATTGATGGTTAGTCTAGTGATGCCATCTATTATGGTACTTTTTGGAGGATCGTATTGTATGAATGTGTGAGTTACCACATCGACACAGTTCTAAACAATGCAAGCCGCACCGAGCTATGCAGTGTCAGCACATCAACTGAGTTACCATATCGGCTCTTTAGCATACTGAGCTATACATTGTCAGCACATAAACTGAGTTACTGAGTTAAAAATTCTTTCAGAGGTGAGTCTGAGCGTGCGGCACAGTTCTAAGAGTCAGCACAGTAACTCAGCACAGTGATTAGTTACCCACTACTACACGTTTTAGATGGTTACAGAATCAAATGAGCCACATCCACGAAGAAAACTTGTGGACAATCTAGTATAGGGATGCACAGCAGAGGTGCAAGCAGTCGACGTCGCGGGCAAACTGCGCGCACGCGAGCGTGCTAGGCGAGGTGAAGTGAGCTGTATGGAGATGGCATCGTATACATATTAACCACACACACTTATTTTCAAGTAAAAATGTGTGTATGTATGTGTACTTTTGCGACAACTGAGCCAGTGTGGCATCAGGCCACCAGAAAAAGCCAATTTTTCCAAAACAAAAGTGCCAAGTTTTTATTATCATGTTAAATAATTTTTTTGATTCAGTAAAAAGTGTATATACATATCCATTTCCTCACGTTTTTATTAATAAATTAATTCCAATACATTTATAACAACGCAAAACATATTTAATTTACCTATTCCTCACATTTTATTCACTAAATGAATTCCATCTTAATGTAGAATATTACTGTATAGTGTATACATACATCCATTGGGGTGTTCACAGTTCGTTCCAAATTGTGTCTGAAAATGTAGACGTCTACATTTTGAGACATCTTTAGCATCAAACTGTGAGCACCCCTTTCTAGCAGTCGTCGCAAAATCGTCTCAAAACTTTGCTGGTGTTGCCAGACATTTCTTCTTTGCGTGCTTTTTTATATGTCGCCTTTCGATTTTGTTTCTGAAAAATTGTAATTATTTAACTTAATTGCCAATTCCTAATATTTGTTATTTCTTTTCCTTGATTTGTTTCTTTTCATCAGATATTGCGCTCAAATTAAATGTAAATACAGAAAAAGTGCCCAATAAATAAAAAAAATGCGATTAGTATTGCTATAATGCAACCCTGCTGCGAGGTTGCAAAATGTAGACGCGTAAAAAACATACCTTTGAGTGTGACAAAATGTAGACGGCGTCGTTTTCCAATTGTGTATGGGAAACAACAACACCACAGATTTTACGGTTAGAAAACGTCTTAAAATGTAGACGTCTACATTTTGAGACACTATTTGGAATGAACTGTGAACACCCCACATATGTACCAATGCATTCGGTGTGCTTAAATTAAAAAAGCATCACTAAATACCGCACCAAGCATTGAATTCCAATTATTTTGGCTTTTTGGTTTCCCAAAAGCACTAAATTTAGTGCAAAATGCACGACCTTGGCAACAGTGAGCTGAGCACATCAATGGTCAAATAGTGATGCCAAACCAAGTATTGAGTAAATCCGCTATGTATATTTTTCTTTTAAAGCAAAAGTTCAAATTGGCGAGGGTATTGATTTTTGGTTCTTGCATAGAACACTGATAAGATTCACAAACTTATCTTAGGACTTAATTAAAATAATCAACATTATTTGTTGACGAATATATTTGTGTTCGTATGAAATAGTAGCTTATATCAGGAGGCTTGCTTTAGTATACACTATAGTATACACCATTTCCTCTATTCTTTAAACCACAAGGAATTTTTTTATGAAACGTTATACGAATATTGACTTGCTAGCATCGCCATTAACATTACCGTCTTTTACGTTTATTTTCCAAGAGTTCTTCAACGACTCGTCGCCAGTGAGTCTTTCGCTATCGTATGCTGCGAATGGTTTATTATAGTAAAGCCAGTCTTGCGACATAAGCTACTATTCTATACGAACACAGATATGTATACTTCATAATAGGCTCGCATGAGTTATTATCGGTAAAAAATTGGGTACGCTCAAATCTGGCATCGCTGCAGCAAGTACAGCGCCAGTGAAACAGTGTTGATATTTTAAGTAAAATTGTACTTTTTTAAGTACAATTAAGTTTAAAATGTACAAAAGTACAATTTGCCGATTTTAAGTACAATTTCAACATCAAAAATACTTTTTGTACCAAACGCTCAAATCTCTTCTAGCACTTTGATTCTTAATCCGTTTACATTTAAGTAAATGGATATACCTATATTTCATATTTGCTACAAAATGAAATTATGAATTGTAATTTTGAATGTAAACGTGATTGTGAACAGTAATATTAGTGATGTGCGTTATGGTGATTGCGATTTCTTATCACGGCGGGTGAAATATCCCTCATCGCTATTTATTTTGAAAAAATTTTTGGAAATGCAATTTGCCTATTGGCGATCCTGCAGAAATAGAAGTAATTGAGCAATTCGGAAGTTGAAAGTAAGAAAATGTATGTAAATTCCACGATTTGAAATTATAAATTTCCCTTGAGGATTTCCAATTTATCGATAGTGATCTCATTTTGTATTCATTAATAT